TTATTATAGTTGTCATAGGCTACTTTTAGCAACAAAAATTATAAATAAAACCGGCCAAGTGCGAGTCTTACTCGCACACGAAGGGTTCCGATCCATCGTACGAGATATAACACTATTTAGTACTAATAGAATTTATTTTTAATTTGAATGGCGGCCATTTTGAAATTCGCCATCTTGGTTTTTTATAATTTTTGTTATAGCAAGAATAGAAATACACATTATGTGAAAATTTCAACTCTCCACCTATTACGGTTCATGAGATACAGCCCGTTGTCAGACAGACGGACGAACAGCGAAAGCTTAGTTATAGGGTCCAGTTGGCGCCCTTGGGGTACGGAACCCTAAAAAAATGCATCTAACACCCAAACCAAGCGAGGGTTGTTCACTTGCATATTATAACTGTTCTTGGCTCAACACGGGAATTGAATCCGGATCCTTATGATTGGCAGTCGTTTAAGCTACTAACTTAGTGACTAGAATAAAGACAATAGGCTCTATAAAAATATGGTAGACTCTTAGTTGATGTTATTTTCTGCCAAGGGCGTCGTTCTCATAAAACGTGTTTCACATATCAATCCGCTCGAGCATGCATTGTACATGCTTTGTTGATAGATTATAATCTATTTTAGCTATATAATAGAAACCGCATTGAAATAGGTCCACCAGTTTAGAAGCTAAGATGGTACGGACAGACATCTGCTATATCTATACTAATATTGTAAATGCGAAAGTAACTCTGTGTGTCTATCTGTTACGTTTTCACGCCATAACACTAAACCAATTTTGATGAAGTTTGGTATAGAAGGATGGGACTATGATGAAGGGTATAGGATATATTTTGTCCCAAAAATGAAACCTGAAAAGGGTGAAATGGTGAACAAATAATTTCTCAAGTTAAGGACAATAATTACTTAAAATTGTAGACAGTAGTACTGAAGCTACAATATTACAATAATATTTTGTATGGAAAATATTTGTAAAGTTTCCTTTGAAAGAATCGAATCTGCTACCGTTGTTTAAATTTTATGAAGGAATGTTTTAGGACTTTCTGGATGTATATACATACATATATGGTATGGTATGGTGGTAGATTTACCAGCAGATTGAATATTTTTTTAAACTTCTAACAGAAACCATAGACTTCGGTAGCAATTCTGAACATGATTTAGTTTTAGAAATATTCCCAAAAAAACTATTTCTTGTACAATTTCAACCAGATTACTATTAGATTATTAAGCCCCTTTCTGACTTGGCGGTGCGGTATCGGTGCAGTAAAGTACGCTCGTTAACCGCTTACCGATTCTTTACCGAGCGCCTATAATATTTGAATACACGCTTCCTGATTGGCGCGGGCTGCGCGGGATCGGGCTGGAAAACGAGCAGTCGCAAACGAGCAGCCAGTAAAACCGTTGATACCGAGCGTAAAAGTCCAAGAATTTTCCAAGTTTCTGCAAGATTCAATTGTTTTACACTGAAAACATACCGACAGCATACTGATAAGTTAGGAGATCTGGCCGACATCATTAAACTCCCGGTAACGTACACAATACCGCATACAGATACCGCACCGCCAAGTCAGAAAAGGACCTTAGAAGTGAGGGCGGAAAATTTTTTACAGCCTACATTTGAAAAATTTAAAAATCTTTCTTCTTATTACGTGCTTATAACGTCTACTAAAGCACACCGACTTCGAAAATATCTGATTCTAAATGAAAACCCCCGTTTAGTTATTTTTTACATTTTAGTGCCTGGAAGTAGTTTGTTTTTAAGTTTTTATTCTTTTATGTGTACCATTATATATATACACACATATATCTAAAACAAAAACTCGAAAACACTACCTTGTTGAAGTCACTCAAAAATCTGATCAGGCGTCTGCAAAAATATATAATCTTCTTAATATGTTAATATTGTTTTGTTGTTAGAAGTATTCTTTAAAAATGACGTAACTTATAGATAATTGTCCGTTAACGCAATCATAAAACGTGTTTATGTATAAACTAGCATTGCCCGCGGCTCCGCCCGCGTTCAGATGACCAAAAACCAAATTCTTAGGTTTTACATATTAGTATACTCTTACATTGCAGCTTTTGTAATTTTTCTCAGAAATGAGACATTTCCCCAAAGTATCCTATATGTTGACCCGGATAACCAGCTATCACCATACCAAATTTTATTAAAATCGCTTCAGTCGTTTTTCTGTGATGCGGTAACAGACAGACAGACAGACAAAAATTCTAAAAACTATAGATTCGGCCTCTGTATCGATAATAATGTTTATTTCAATAAGATTTTCCAAAAAATATCTAATGTACAGATTCCACTCAGTTACAATTTTATTATATGTATAGATTGTCCGTTAACACAATCGTAAAACGTGTTTATGTATAAATAAGACGACAACGAGACGATATATCCATTATCTATTCCGTCCATCCATATGTACATAAGTACAAGTATATATGTAAAGATACATAGGTATTGACTGCAACGTTAGTCTAGTGGCTAGCATGAACGGCTGCAGATCCACAGGTCCCAAGTTCGAGTTTTGAGTCGGGCCAAATGTGGCTTTTAGTTTTTTGTTAAGAAATTTTCAGTGACAGTTCGGAGTTAGGAAGTTGTAGGTGTTCCACCCTCGTGACACGTGGTCCAACGCTGATCTTTTACTTGTGTTGAGTTGTCATCACACCAGAGAAAGATAGTAACACAGAGAGTGCACTTTTTTTATTATAATTCTATATTCTCACTCTCACATAATGGTTTTGGAATACGACATAACCTTCGTCGTGATTTTTCGCGCTCTGAAGTAACAACACCAACTTCCATATAATATATGTATATATATATATATATATATATATATACATATATATACACATATATATATATATATATATATATATTCATATTCGAATTTTTGTTTTGCGATAACAATAAAGCTCGTCAATAGCTCCTAAACAGAGAATCGTTTGACAAACAGAGGAGGAAAAGGCAGTGACTGAACTGTTTTGTCCTTGCCTATTGATATATTAACATTTAGTATAGATTTCTCAGAGATAACACCGGCTTCGGAAATATCTGATTAGGTATATATTCTAAATAAAAACCCCCGTTTAGTTATTTTTTACATTTTAGTGCCTGGAAGTCGGTTTTTATTTTTTGTCAAAAAGTTTTTAAGTCATAACCGGGCTGAGACTTCATCCGGAAATCGACCCTGCTACCTGCTACTCACGTTTCAATGTCGCACCTAGTTTGCTAACTCATAATCAGAACATTACTATGCAACATGTGAATGTAAAAGGTAAGAAAAGAAATGTCAAGGCTGCTTTCGTAACATGGGCTGTAGTAAAAATGGCCTTCGGTCGTTTTGAACGATGGCATAATTAATTTTATAGCAAACCCATAATATATTATAGTTGGGAACACCCGACTGTGAAAATAATATAAAGGAAAAAGCACGTTTATATCTACTTTCTATATCTTAATATTGTAGATTTAGTTTGTGTTGTATTTGTGTTTACGCGATATCTGTCTCTATTATAATTATTATTAATCGATATTTTTGTAGTTTCACTTCTTTTGGCACGTTTGGAAATGAATATGAGAGTAAAATTTTTACGATGCACGCGCCGACAGCCAAAAAGCGACATGATGAAGTTAGCTGCATTCCTTTTACAAACAGAGAGTTGTGACATACGGGATAATTCTTAGCGTGAAAATCTTTAGCTATTAGCGTGAAAATCTTTAGCTATTTTTGTTCTGTTACGCCAAACAAGTATAACTTCTTACGTGCATACATAAGTACACACACACGTTTTTTTATATACGTTTAAGAATGCGAAAGCTATTACGATTTGGATTATATTTAGTACATTCACAGATATATTATAAGCACGTAACCCGAATAAAACAAGGCTAAGCCGCTTGTATGTATTCAGCCCATATTAACATCCCGCTACTGGGGATGGGCCTCCCTTCAGTACGAGGGGATCAGGCTATAGTCCACCACGCTGGCCAAGTGCGGGCGGACTGGGCAACATCGAAATGGGACAGCTTTATTCTAGAGAGACGAGTCAGTAGAAAAACAATCAAATTCATCCATTCTTATATTACGAGCTTACTAATCGACAGTCAAATATTTCCAAAATATAGATTATGTTTATGAACTAGAAAATCTATAATATGGTAGCTGCTCACACTCGCTTCGGAAAAGCAAAAACAAATCTGTCCCTCGAGAACCGTCTATTTTTCCGGGATAAAAAGTAGCCTATGTGTTATTCCAGACTATAATCTATTTCTGTGCCAAATTTCATCCAGATCCGTTCAGCCGTTCTGGCGTGAAAGAGTAACAAACATCCATACTCAAAAACTTTCACATTTATAATATTAATACAGATTATAAGGATTTATATTATACTAACGACACACCCTCGCTTTACTCGGGTTCGTCCCTAGGTTGCTTCCCCATACAAACTTTCATCCCTATTTTCATCCTCTTAAGGGATGACTTTCGGGTTAAAAACTATCGCATGTCCTTCCTAGGGTATCAAACTATCTTTTTACCAAATTTCATCTAAATCGGTTAAGTAGTTTCGGAGCCTATTCGGAACAAACAAACAATCTTTCCTCTTTATAATATTAGTATAGATTACATATATCCTAAGCATATCATACTGTAAAAATAAAACTTGCATCAACTTTAGCTATGTGTTTATATTTATAAATAATATATTTATATAAATACATTTTATTTATATAATTATATCAATATTTTTTTACATAATGCAAAAACTCTTGAAATGTTTAATACTTTGTAACATCTTTTAACGCCATCTAGTGTCGAGTAGAATAACCAATTCACATATTATTTGATTTAATATTACAATTTTAAATTTTTTTCTGGTATTTTAAATGATAAAGACAAATCTAAAATATGTATTTTCATTATTTGTTTAAAAGCTTCTTTTTAATTGTTTGTTTTTTTATTTCAGATTTAAAAAATGGCGCCATCTATTGGCGTACCGGAGTTCTACGCGGGGAAGTCCATTTTTATTACGGGAGCGACGGGGTTTATGGGAAAAGTTCTCATAGAAAAACTGCTTCGATCATGTCCAGATTTGAACAAGATATACTTGCTCATGCGCCCGAAACGGGGGCAGAATATTAAAGAGCGTCTCGACGATTTTATTAATTGCAAGGTAAAATAACCAGTGTTTTTTAAAACTTCATAAAATTTACACAAATATTTGACATGGAATATTCCTTAACACTGTTAAGTATTCGAAATGTCCGTAATAAAATATGTAAAACATAAAGAAAACGTGAAGAAAGTCAAGTTTTGACGTTTTAAAAGTTATAGTTGATACATCGCGTCTTAGGATGATTTGATAATTCGAATTTTCGCGAAAGCTTTAGGAATATTGCGATCACAAGGATAGTACAATCATATATACATACTATATAGAATATCATGTACGGAAAGAACATCCATACTAATATTATAAATGTGAAGTGTAGTGTGTGTGTTTGTTTGTTTATTTCGTTGTTTGTTTGTCCTTCTTTCATGTCAAGACGGGGTGACGGATTGGCGTGATTTTTTGTGTGGATATAGTTAAAGGGCTGGAGAGTGACATAGGCTACTTTTTACCGCGAGAGATTATCTGATTCTCACGGGAAAACTATGATCAGAATTACTTGAAACTTGGTATTAATGCTCTACAATAAAATTAATTAAATAGTTACGTGTTTTAAAATTTTCGAAATTCATCCTTCAAGGGGGTAAAATAGTGGATGAAAGTTTGTATGTAACTACCTATTTAGAGATTTTTGTAGTTTTAGCGCGAGCGAAGCCACGGGTTCTGCTAGCATTATATATTTGTCAGACAATAACAACGATTGCCATGGCAACAATTAGTCATAATAGCTTTTATTTAATTTATGCACATTCATCCCATAGTAATGAATATTCATTTTTATAAGTAATAAATAAGTTTAGTTTTTTTACCCAAGCTTAAAAGGCATTTACATTTTATTTAACATATTATGTTACATAACATATTATTCAGTATTATTTTTCACTTCCTGTGTAATGTATTCTATCTCAAATAAAACGGTTACCATTGCAACATGCAATGTATTCTATCTCACTCTCTCGCCGGCTTAACCCTATATACATATTTATGTGTTTGTCTCTTTCTAGTGTTGCATTTTCGTTTCATCGAGTTTCAAATCACAACGATTCTAAATAAGTTTTACTTTAATAAATACATTTCAGGTTTTCGACGGCCTCCATGAAAAATCACCGAAATCCTTTGACAAATTACACGTTATATCTGGCGATATTTTGCAAGACGACCTCGGCATGTCCATACAAGATTGGGAATTGTTACAGAAAGAGGTGCAGATTTTATATCACTGCGCTGCTTGCGTACGGTATGTTTACAATTATCTACTTAATATTATGTAACTAATTACTTTCTTAGGCAGTGGTAGCTCAGCGGGTTCAAATCCCGGGTCTCGCACCTCTAATACAGATGCGAATCATTTCTAACTTTATTACCACTTGCCTTACGGTGGAAACAAAACATGGTGAGGAAACCTGTCTGAGAGAATTCAGCGAGTTTTTAAAATTCATGCTCAGTCCGTCCACACTTGTCCAGCGTGGTGGACTATGGCCTGATCCCCCTCGTATTAGGAAGAAAGCAGTGGAACGTTAAAATGGGTGAATACATTACATATCAATTACTTTCTCATTAGAAAGGTACAACATTTTTAAACACTTTGACGATATGGTACATGGGACAATGGGGTAAATAAGACGATGCGGTAAATGTCCTTTTTGTATGTTCAAATCCAAAAATGTTCAATTGTCAATTCAATTCACATGTTTTTTAAATTATCGCGTTCCATAATTATATAATAATTACACTACGGGACTTAACGCGTGGATTTGTAAGCCTATATACCTTGTTCCCGACGGGCAGACTGGCGGTCGGTCTGGCGTAGCAGGGTATCATGTATACCACCAGTCTGCCCGTGACCACGGCTGGTGCAACCCAGTCGAAACGTCGGGAACAAGGTACTCGTATATCAACCCTTACGAATTCACGCGTTTAGTCCCGTAGCGTATTTATCATATAATTGTTAATAGCTTCAAAGCCTGTCAGTTGAACACAAATTATATACTTCGCCAATGGCACGTAAAATGAAGGTAACAAGAGTTTTAAAAAGGTTTATTCAACATTAAATTATTAAAAATTTTTTACTGAACGTCATGAATTTACCACCAATCAAACAGGAACCGGAAAGAAAAAGCCTCTGAGAAGAACTGGCGAAAGAAACGAACACACTAAAATAGCGATGATATTAATATTAAAGTATTTTACGCGATATCTTTTCTAATTGTAGAGGGATTATGAAAGCTCAAAACTACTTGCTTATATTATATACAATTACATATAGTTTAAAACACCTCAAGCGCGACAGGGAAGATACGAGTTTTTTTTAATGTTTGCTTTCTTTCCACAGTTTCGATATGTTCATCCGAGATGCGATAAACATGAACACGTTGGGGACTATGAAAGTGCTGAACTTAGCGGATGGCATGCAAAAACTTGAGGTAAACAGCTATCTAGTTTGGAATCATTTCTAAATTATATTGAATTATTAAAAAAAAAGTTAAAGGTAGTACTACTCCGTAGTGGTATAGCGCTCGCTTGGGAAACCGAGTGAAGCGGGTTCAAATCACGGTTCCGCATTGCTGTTATTTTCATATGCGAATCATTTTGAACATGATTCTCACTTGTCTTACAGTGAAGGAAAACAAAGGAAACCTGCATGTCTGAGAGAACCCAGCAAGTTTTGGAACTCTCTCTTCTCCCTCCCTCTGCTTCTGAATGGAGATTAAATCTAGACATATATATTTATTTTATTTCAGGTATTTGTACACGTGTCTACAGCATACTGCCGCTGTGAAGTCCACACTTTAGAAGAAAGACTCTATCCAGCAAATCATAAACCTCAAAACGTGATGGAATGCGTGAAGTGGATGGATGACGACTTGCTTAGTTATTTACAGCCTAAGTAAGTAAATTATTACTTTATAGCACAACTCGGAAACCCGTTCAATTTTGTAAACCGGTTTTGGTCATTGATCCCAAACCGAATGATCGAAATTAACCGGTTAAAATAATTTATAGTGCGTTCACATTTGGCGAAAATAGAATGATATATGTATGTACGTTTGTTACTTATGAATGAATTAACATATTTATTGCGGTATCAAAACCTACCAAATATTATCGAAATTAACCGTTTTTTTACCGGTTCGAGCTCTGCTTTGTAGATCATTTTTAACAGACTTCATCAATCGTGTTTTCTAATAGAAAATGAAAAAATGTATCTAAGTTTTTTAACCAACTTCAATAAAAGAAGGTAAGTATTTTTTATATGAATAAGTTATTTTAAATAAAACTATCTTTTCGGATTTTTTCGCGGATTTATTTTGATTTATGGTTCCCGACGTTTCGAATGCTTTGTAGTTTTGCTATCTGTAACAACTATAATATAATGCCTTTGAGACGTCTAAAACCTAAGCCTCTCCTGTGACCATGTATGTGCGTTGCACTAAAACAAAGCATTCGAAACGTCGGGAACCAAAAATGAAAATAAATCCGCGAAAAAAACCGAAAAGTTAGTTTTAATTAAAATGTAGAATATTCACGTAAATCTAAGAAAGTAATAAGTTATTTTTTAATAACTCAATCATATATAAGTCTTTAAAAAAATCGTTTCTAAATCTGAAAATTTACAGTTTTAAACTAAGTATTTGTAATTTTGTTATCAGTATAACTTTTTTCTTTTACAGACTTATCCAGCCACAACCTAACACTTACGCTTACACGAAGTCACTAACAGAAGATCTCGTATCGCAGCACGTTGGAAAATATCCTATAGTTATCGCCAGACCATCTATAGGTTTGTATTATTCATAAGTGCTAAATAAAACTAAACTACCTATCTATTCGATTTCTTCATAGATTTTCAAACAATCTGGAATTTTTAATTTAAAGTATAATTTAACATTTAAAGGACCAACTGATGAGTTTATCTTGGGCTTCAAATTTGGCTTAAAATGATTCAAACAAAAAGTCGTACGTTACGGGAAGATAATTAATTATGTATACAAACTGAGTCGAATCTGTACATTAAATATTTTTTGGAAAATCTTATTTAAATACTAATTATTATTGATGCAGTGGCTGAGTCTATAGTTTTTAGAATTTTTGTGTCTGTATGGGAACACGAGAAAACCACTAGACAGATTTTAATGAAATTTCGTATGATGATAACTGGTTATCCGGGTCAACATATAGAATACTTTTTACTGCGATAAGATATCTCTTGAGAAATCTATACTAAACATTAAAACGTAAAATTTATAAATCACAAATAGTTTATTGTTAATCAAAAAACAACATCCGTCGATTATATTACATTTAGAATATTATTTTTAAGACTAATGCCACTTGCATTAGTTGCTTTCGTAGTGTTTTCTTTTATTAGCACACTAGCATTGCCCGCAGTTCCGCCCGCGTTTAGATGACCAAAAAGCACATTCTTAGGTTTTACATATTAATATACTCTTACTTTGCAATTTTTGTATTTTTTCTCAGGAATGAGATATTTTCCCATGGTAAAAAGTATCCTATATGTTGACCCGGATAACCAGCTATCACCATACCAAATTTCATCAAAATCCCTCCAGTGGCTTTTCCGTGATGCGGTAACAGACAGACAGACAAACAAAAATTCACAAAACTATAGATAGGCCTCTGTATCGATAATAATGACTATTTCAATAAGATTTTCCAAAAAATATTTAATTTAGGTACAGATTCGACTTAGTTAGAATTTTGTTAAATGTATAGATTTTTTTTTCAGTGATCGCTTCGTACAAAGAGCCGATGCCGGGGTGGGTGGACAACATGAACGGACCTACAGGGTTGCTAGTTGGTGCTGGAAAAGGTAACACCTTAAAAAAACTGTATTTACAATATAGGAAATCCATACTAATACTATAAACGAGAAAGTATGTTTGTTTGTTTATTTGCTTGTTTGTCCTTCTTTTACGTCGAAACAGAATGACTGATTGACGTGATTTTTATGTGTGGAAATAGTTGTAGGGCTGGAGAGTGGTATAGGCTACTTTTTATTGAGGGGATAAAAGTTTGTATGAAACCAGCCTTTTTAGAGGTTTTTTTTGTAGTTTTTACGTCAGCGACACCGCGGGTTCTGCTAGTTACAAATGTACTTATTATATACTAATATTATGAATGCAAAAGTAACTGTCTGTCTGTTACCTGTTCACGCTTAAACGTAGAACCGATTTAGATGAAATTTGATATGTAGATAGTTTGAGACCTTGGGAAAGATATAGGATGGTTCTTATCCCGGAAATCATGCCTTAAGAGGATGAAAAGGAGAGGTGGGAGTTTGGGGACTCAATCATTTCTCATATAAGAGATAAGATATACCTACGTATAGGTACAAACCTGAGCGAAACGATTGTGACTAGTGTAATAATAATATTAATATGATTATTTTCAGGTGTCATCCGTACAATGCACTGCAACGACAGCTATCTGGCTGATGTGGTGCCAGTCGATATGGTGGTGAATGCTTGCATCCTCTTATCATACGTGACAGCTTTGGAAAAGTAAGATTGTTTCTGTAATACATTTAAAAGTACACAAAATCTAGATTTCCTCCGTTAATGGTGGAATTTTCATTGTTTCAAATGTTTGATGTTGAGATATGATAGTGTATTTAAAAAGAAATAATTACCATTCATATTGCTTAGCATTCGCATAAGAAAGAGTCTTCCTTTCGATTTTAAATTAAAAAATTGTATATACGTATATACAATTTTTAAATTTAAATATATATACTATACTAATATTATAAAGGGGTAAGTAAACCTTATGAGTTTGTGAGTTTGTGAATTGTGAGTTTGTGACGTTGTAGGGGGTAATCTCTGGATCTACTTAACCGATTTAGATGAAATTTGGTAAGAAGATAGTTTGAGACCCTGGGAAGGACAAAGGATACTTTTTATCCCGGAAATCATCCCTTAAGGGGGTGAAAATGGGGATGAAAGATTGTATGGGGAAGCAAGCTAGGGACGAACCCGAGCGAAGCGAGGGTGAGTCGCTAGTTATACAATAAATTTTATGGTTACCTTGATTTTTTTTATTAATCCTCCAACATGCACTTGGCCAGCGTGGTGGACTATGGCTTGATTGTCCTTTGCATTGAGGGGAGGCTCACCTCCCAGCATTGAGACGTTAGAATGGGTTAATTCTTATTATTTACGAATTATTTGTTTATTAATAAATTTTAAATGATTTGTCTGACCGTTTCTGCTATTCATAAGAAATTTTTTTTTATAATGTTTCAGACCAAAAGACATTAGAATTTGTAACATCACTCAGTCCGGTTACAACCCTATCACATGGGGAGAAGCTCTTGATATGGGTAAATATAAAACATTAAAATTTAATGTTTATAGATAACTAACAACGATTCTCCCTTAAGTTGCCTAGTGATAGCCTATGTGCTACTCCAGGTCTTACACGTAGGTAATCTGTGTCCTAAATTTCATTGAAATCCTTCTAGATCTTTCGTTATATTTCATTTCGTGAAGGAATAATAAACAGCCCTGGATTTACCCTTTGGGCACTCGGGGCTAGTGCCCAGGGCAGAGGAGGGTGGGAAAAAATTTTTCTTCGCGTTATCGAAAATGTTTTTTTTTTATTTATCAAAAAATAAAAAATAAAGATTGACTTGTCGGTACATTTTTCGAAAAATTGATATCATTTACAAATTACTATCTTTCTGCACATTTCGAGAAATTAATAATTAAAAAATTTAAATTTTGAACACTTTATTCAAAATTTCGATAATAAGGCGGCATTTTTTACTATGCCCAGGGGCAGCGCTAAGGTTAAATCCGGCTCCGATATTAAACACATATAATTGCAAGCTTTCAGATTTCTTTCTCATGCAATGAATAGATTTTTTGCATTTTAACGATAAATAGACTTAAAACATACATATTTATAATATTCAAAATTTATATATGTGTAGTGTATCAACTATCTGATATCCATAACACAAGCCACGTAGCTTACCATGGAACTAGATAGTGCTGTGTGTAATGTAGCAATATATTTAAAAAAAAAAGAATTTACTTCTTTCACATTGTATTTTCAGTTTCAATATGATTAAAATACTTACTTTAGCTTTTATTATAAAATCTATACATATAATAAAATTGTAACTAAGTCGAATCTGTACATTAAATATTTTTTGGAAAATCTAATTGAACTAGACATTATTATCAATACAGAGTCCGAATCTATAGTTTTTAGAATTTTTGCCTGTCTGTCTGTCTGTTACCGCATCACGAGAAAACCACTGGACAGATTTTGATGAAATTTTATATAATGATAGCTGGTTATCCGGGTCAACATATAGGATACTTTTTACCGCGAGAAAATATCTCATTTCTAAGAAAAAATACAAAAACTGCAATGTAAGAGTATTCTAATATGTAAAACCTAAGTATTTAGTTATTGGCCATCTGAACGCTGGCGGAGCCGCGGGTAATGCTAGTACCTTATATGTGGTTGGCATAACCGATAGCAAATGCACGCTTAATATGTTTAATATAAATGATTTATTTATTTTACGTATAATTTTTTTTTTATTTTCAAGGTCGGGTCCACGTTCAGGAATTCCCTTTCTCTGTCTGCCTCTGGTATCCCGGGGGATCCCCCAAAAGCTCAAGACTGCATCATTTAATTGCTGTTTTCTTTTTCCACTTCCTGCCTGCTTATTTCGTTGATATGATTTGTATTTTAATGGGAAAGAAGACTTTGTGAGTGTTTTTTTTTTAATTTTAAACTAACGACTGGCTCTCGCTTTGTTCAGGTCCTAGGTACATTTAAATTTATTTCAGTAATTTTTTTTTTCAAAAATTAAAGTAGCCTCGATTACTCCTTATAACATCACCTATCTGCGAGTGATAGTTCGTCAAAATCGGTCTAGCAGTTTCGGAGATTAGCCAAAACAAACAGATAGACATGCCAACAATTATAAAAAATGTGTTTTCCTTATCGTTTATAATTTCATATGCATTTAGTAAAAAGCTGTTATTTTGACATTAAAAACACTTCAATTTTATTTATCTGTATGGATATAGATCGATTTGTAAAATGAGTAAATTTTGATCACTAGCTTTTGCGCGAGACTCCGGACAAGTATTTTATTAATGTGTAATTAGGATTTACGATAGCCTACAAACGTCCCAAAAATGACCTAAATATTAGTTTTTTTTTATAACTATGTACTACCGATAACTTAGTTATAAACTTTTACACAGAATTTATTATAAAAAACCTATTAACTCTTTTAATCTAACCGATAATCGAACCCAGGACTATCTTCTGCTCTAACCTTAAATCTTAATAATAAAGTAAAACTTACATTTTTTGCGAGCAAATTTTGACACACACAAATTATTATATATGTTATTTTATACTGTATTGTATTATTTTTTTAGTATGATAAAAATTCAAAAGCGTGTGAACTACGGCCTAGAAGTCCTGCAATATTACACGACCAAGGAATGGTACTTTAATAACGAGTACTATAGATCGTTACCAAATATGATATCTAAAGCCGATAACGAAATGTTCTACACTGATTTACACGTGAGTACCTTCTTATTTGATTTTGACGACACGTTTGGCTCAGTTTGTAGTGACCCTACTTGCTGAGCCAGCGGATGCGGCTTCGAGTCCCGCTGGGGGCATTCATTTGTGTGATGAACACGAATGTTTATACTCCAGTCATGGGTGTTTAATATTTATAATATGTATGTATTTAAAGTTATATATGTGTAGTGTATTAACTATCTGGTATCCATAACACAAGCCTCGTAGCTTACCATGGAACTAGATTGTGCTGTGTGTTAATGTCCCAACAAATAAATAATCTTTTAATTTATAGATGATTAATTGGAGTTCTTACATCCGGAACTACATAAAAGGTGCACGAGAGTATTGTTGTAAGGAAGACCCTTCCACGTTGCCGCAAGCTAGGAAATTGAATAACCAGTAAGTATCGTGTTGGTCTAGTTGTTAGCATATACGGCAAATTGAGGGGTACTCGAGATTCAGGGTTCGATTTTCTGGTCGGGCCAGTATTGTCATTAGGATGATCTGTGAAGATTCTCAGTAACAATCTGGAGTTGAAAAGTTGGCGTTGTTGCACTCCCGTGCTTCAGGGAGCACATATGGCGTCGGTTCTGCGTCTTAAAACTCACCGCAAGTGTCTAAGTATCGTCCCGTTGGACTTTAGGAGGAACAGGAATAGAGAGTGCACTTGTGTCTGCGTGTACACAGATTGGCCGCCGTGGCCCATATCAGTCGGTAGGACATTATGGATGATACGTTTGGCTCAGTGTGTAGTGACCCTACTTGCTGTGCCAGCGGTCGCGGGTTCGAGTCCCGCTGGGGACTTTCATTGTGTGATGAGCACGAACGTTTGTACTCCAGTCATGGGTGTTTATATTTATAATATGTATGTATTTAAAGTTTATACATGTGTAGTGTATCAACTATCTGGTATCCATAACACAAGCCTCGTACTCGTAGCTTACCATGGTACTAGATGGTGCTGTGTACATATTTATACTTACATTACAACATATTTATTTAACATATTTATTAAGAGGATTCCAACCAAATTTTAAATTTGTAGCATTTTTCAATATACTTTTTGAGATATTTTTATTAATCAATGATTGATTTTGCTTTTATTTGAAAGAGATATATCGAAGTTATTAGTTAATATGCTATTGCATAGTGATAAGACTAGCTTTTCAACGCAAAGGTCAGGTTCGACCATACATTTGTATGAATTATCATACGTTTGTATCGGTGTTGTTTAACTAAAAAGTTACCTAACACAAAATAAATGGAAGTATCACTCTGTTTTTGAAAGGAAAAGGGAAGATTTATAAAATAATAATATAATTATAGTTAAAAATTAAACGACTTAGATCTAAATAAAGTACTCTTACTAAGTGGAATCTATTATCCATCTCCTGGAGTCATTAGCTCGTTGGTACCAAATTATACATATATTAATAATGAAACTGATCGCTGTCTGTAAATGGAAGATATTTGAGAAAAACTATTATGGGGGTATTTATTAACGCAGTAGAACCAAATAGTTTTAGAATTTTTGTCTATTGGTCTGTGCGTTTGTGCGCGCTAATCTCACAAACGGCTCAACCGATTTGGATACCGTTTTGCACTAATGTATTGTTGTAAGCTTTTATTAACATTTAGTTCTTGTTTTATTTCAATCAGTTCATAAATAAAAAAGTTACGACAATCGACGAACTCGAGCGAAGGGAGGGTGAGTCGCTAGTAAAGAAAAATTATTTATAATAATTATTTAAACACTTGCAAAGTTTCATATCGATGCGACTTCCTTTATATTGACCTACATACATACGTACTCGTAATACATATTCATTTGTTACTTTCAAATTAAGGTAAAGAGACCTCTTTCTGACAACAATTCAGCTTACTACAACCACATTAATTCTTGTATATTTTATACGCGAATAAGTATAGTACACATAAGTATATATAAAAATTACTTAAAATTAAAATGAATAAATATTTTAAGGTACTTTAGTACAATTTTTGTATTTTAAAAAATTATTGTATAATATAGTGGGTAGGCACTAGGCACTGTCTGTAACAACTATCTATATATAATGACCTAAAGACCTATGAGACGTCTAAAACCTTAGTCTCTCCCGTGATCATGATTGTTGTAAAGCATTCGAAACGTCGGGAACCAAAAATCAAAATATATCAGCCAAAAAAATCCAAAAAGATAGTTTTATTTAAAATGTCAATCTAGGTTATAAAATATCTGCATTCCGTATTTCACTCATATACATTGGAACCTTTACAGCATGAAGTGACAAACGGACACACAAATTTTCAAATTTATAATAATAATGTGATTTTCTTTACAGATTATACTACTTGGATAAAGCTGTACAATTCGTGGTATATTCCTTGATCGCATACTTCATATACTACTATATTATAAGAATTTTTAGTTAATTAAAATAAATTTACTAGAATTATTTTTAAATTAAAAATCAGTGGTATCGCTTACATATTTGCCTATAAAAATGATCTGCTGGCTTCTGTACTTTTTAAGGTCAGCGACTAAAATGTCTATTATATTTCTTGCGACCGAAATGTCGATTATGATTTGTACGCAATTGTGTAAGCGACCTTACGACTGACAAAATTGGTGTGTTTTTGAAAAATTTTTACTCAAGTGTCAAAAAAATATACTGTAAATAATAGTCAATGCAATAGTAAAATAATTATGAATTGTTATTTTATTAATAAACTATGAAATATACTCAAAAATATAAGTACTATGAAAAACCTTCACACAAACTATCAGTGATGCCAGCGTAAAAAATCCCTTAGAATAGGTTATTATATATATAAAATATTTTTCTTTGATCAAAAAATAAAAAATAAATACATAAGTATACATCTTAGTAACGGTCAGTATGGAATAAACTATATATTATTATGTGATATATAGCCTATAGCTTTCCTCAATAAACGGGCTATGTAATGCAAAAAGAATTTTTTAAATCAGATTAGTAGTTCTTGAGATTAGCGCGCTCAAACAAACAAACTCTGCTTTTTTATAATATTAGTATAGATATATTTGACTAAAGAAAAATATTTGACATACGAGTATCTATATTCTATTTTTATGTGAAAGAACTTCATTAAATTCTTCTTTTTTTTTTTTAATTTTGGTCTTTACAGGCTTTCGATTGGTGAATATCTAGCAGATCGCAAACATTATATTTTAATTACTTAAATTTCAAAATTATTCTTATACAATAGTTTGAAGTATTTATTTATATGAAAGTTAAATAATATTGGTTTTATACTACAAATCAAAGAGTAAAAATAAAATAAATATTATTTAATTTTTAATTTGCATAATAAATTTTCTGAGGGGAATACTTAACGTTGGTAACACTGCTGTTATGTCAAAAATGTTACAATATAGGCAATAAATATTTTTTTATAATAAAACAAATTTAAAATGGTAATACAATTTGGCTTGATTACTGTCTAGTGGCAGACGAAGTCACGGCCAAAGATTAGAAATATTTTAATTTAAGGCGTTTAAAATTTGACATGTTTTTTAAATAATTAAATTTTTAATTTGTTATTTTTTTAATAATAGTGTCGGTTTCGTAAAAATATATTTTGTAAAAACTGCTTATGTGTTTTTAATAACCTCAAAATAAATGCTTTTCGTAAAAATATGTAAGAAAGTATTGTTATAAGAGTTGATAAAATTTCTTGAAAAAATGATATTTTAATTTTTTTTATAAACTTATTTTTTTTACTCAGATTACTAATATTTTTTTACAGTTTCATTTTTAATAATGAACTATTAAAATCTATACATATAATAAAAATCTAACTTAGTCAAATCTGTACATTAAATATTTTTTGGAAACTCTTACTGAAATAGACATTATTATCGATACAGAGGCCGAATCTATAGTTTTTAGGATTTTTGTCCATCTGTCTGTCTGTCTCTTTGTTTGTCTGTCTGTCTGTCTGTCCGTCCGTCCGTCTGTCTGTCTGTTACCGCATCACAGAAAAACTACTGGACGAATTTTGATGAAACTTGGTATGGTTATAGCTGATTATCCGGGTCAACATATAGGATACTTTTTACCGCAGAAAAATATCTCATTTCTGAGAAAAAATACAAGAACTGGTTAGAGTAAAAAAACGATGATACTATATAGTATTTTGGCAAGTTAACTTACTAAATATGATAAAAACTATTATAAATAATTAATCTTGAAAAATTATATCAATAGCACTCTTTTATTCATTATAAAAGTTATTTTAATGAATATTTATTTTTGTATTATTTAGATACTTCAATTTGTCAATAGATGTCTCCATGTGTCTTTAAAATACGTAGTTTTAATTCCAAAAAATTGAATGTACAAATTAGACCTTTCTATGATTTTATTAGAATTACTACTATATTACCCGCGGCCCCGCCCGTGTTCAAATTATCAAAAAAAAATCTTTTTGGTTTTATATAATAATTACATCTACAGATACATTAAAGTTTAATTAAGCTGTATCTGTGCTTTAAATATTTTTTGGAAAATCTTATTGAAATACACATTATTATCGCTAACAGAGGCCGAACCTATAGTTTTAAGAATTTCTGTCTATCTGTCTGTCTGTTACCGCATCACAGAAAAACTACTGGACGGATTATGATGAAATTTGGTATGGTCGTAGCTGATTATCCGGGTCAACTAATATACTAATACGAGTATACTAATATGTTACACCTAAGAATTTGCCATTTTTCGAAATTTATTCTATAAAGGAGTAAAATAGGAGATGAAGGTTTTTATGAAACTACATAATGTAACGCAACGCAGTTTATACTTTTGCAGTATCATCGTAGCCATTGTTTTACTGTATAGGTACGTATAAAAATTGTTACTTACCAAATAAATTTCAATTTCTAATTAAATTCTAACTTCCTGTGTGCGGTTTTTTAAGGTAAGTGAATTTGGAGTGATGATGTAAATGTAGGTACAAATAATACAAATTCGATACGACAACATGTAAATTCAATGGAATTCAAAACTGTCAGTACTTTTTAATCTACACGAGCGTAGCCGCGGGCAGAAAGCTATAACAAAATGAGAATGGCACTTTACCTATATATGTAAGTAAAAAAAACTAAAAAAAAACCGACTTCAAAAAAACCACTAAATAGTAAAAAATAACTGATTGGTAGTTTTCATTTACTATACATACCTAATGAAATATTTACGAAGTCGGTGTGCTTTGCTTTGTATCGGCTGGCACCGACTTTCAAACAAAACAAAAATTGACTAAATCGGTTAATAAATGACGGAGTTCTGAGGTAACAATCATAAAAAAAAACATAAAGCCCAATTGAGAACCTCCTCCTTTTTGAGGAAGTTGGTTGAAAAAAATACAAATATTTATCCTACTCCTGATACTGTATATTCATCTCATTCTCTCGTAGGCTACTTTTCTGAAGTTTCCCTTCAACCGTGTGCGAATTGCACACACACGCACTTTTTTAATCTCTAATTCTCCGTCTGTATAATTTTATGTATGTATATTCGTACAATGCTTAATATTTTTTGTAAAAATCAATATCAAATCACTACAAACTACCACTTGATAACTGGATGTTGATAAGAAATATACCTAGGTAAGAAATTCTAAAAAAAATTAATATCACACAATGCCCTATATAATGAAGTTACCTAATATGGTCCTTACAATATTTTATAATATCAAAAAATATCTTTTACATAACATATTTACTTCTACAAAAGTTTTAAATGAACAGAATAATACTATTCTGTTATTACTATTAAAAAATTGCAAACCAGTTATTTTTTTTGTAATCTATACATAATACTAGCGGCTCACCCTCGCTTCGCTCGGGTTCACCTCTAGAAAAGCACAAACAGATCTATCCCACGGGAACCGTTCATTTTTCCGGGATAAAAATAAGTAACCTGTGGTTTGACCTGCAATATAAGGTAGCATGCCAAATTTTACTAAATTAGGTGCATAAGTTGTTGTGTACTGAGCTGTATAAGTTACTATAATTTTTTAACTATCCCACGGGAACTCTTTAATTTTCCGGAATGAAAAGTATCAAATTTCATTTAAATAGGTTCAATAGTATCGGAGATTAGCCCGTACGAACAGACAAACAGACAGAGAAACAAAAAATTTGAAAAAATCTGAATTTGTTCTATTTCTCTCCTTACGGGATGTAAGAAGAGAAATGACTCGTTTTTTAGCAATTTATACTATTATTTATGTACAGACATTCGACCTCTACAGTTTTATTATTCATATATGTACCTATATTCAGATAGAATAAATAACGTATAATAAAACAGAAATATATAATAATGAAAATAGTTATAGCGAGTGTATCTTAGGAGATAGACATATACTATGTAGAACTTTTCTATAGACCTTTTTAAGACTTACAATTTTCTTGTACAATGTTTCGATCTATCTCTTAAGGTTGAGCCAACGTTAGCCATATAAATTTCTAAGGACAATTCGATAGAACCAGTTATTGTATTTTCCCGTGGGAATGAATAATTTGCCTGTCGCAAAAAGTATTCTAAATGTTGACCCGAGCACTAAGTTTTATCACTATACAAAATTAAGTTAAAGTCGGTTGAGTACTTTTTGCGTGAAACGCGCACATCGATTTGACTAAGTTTTAGTATAGGTATAGATAAGAATAAATATTGCGAGTGTAACTTAGAAGATAGACATATACTATTCAGAACTTTTCTGTAGGACTTTTCAAGACCTACAATTTTTTAGTATATTGTTTTGATGTATGTCTTAAGGCTTAGCCAGAGGAAGGTTTCTAGGGAGGACTCGATAAAACCAGTTATTGTATTTTCCCGTGGGAAAGAAAGATTTTCTTTAAGTAAAAGGTATCTAGGCAGTGGTATCCCAGTGGTAACGCGCTCGCTTGGGAAACCGAGTGAAGCAAGTTCAAATCCCGGGTCTCGAACCTCTGATATTTTCATGTGCAAATCATTTCGAACACAGTTACCACTTGTCTTAACGGTGAAGGAAAACCTGCATGTCTGACAGAACCTAGCAAGTTTTATACTTTTTACTGCAGGGAAATATCTTATCTATGAGAAATCTATACTGAACGTTAAAATGTAACTAGGGACGCACCCGAGCGGAGCAAAGGTTAAGTTAGGTTTTAGAGATATTTTTAAATCATTACTTTGAAAAAGTAAGTTGTAAAGTTAGCGGTGACCGGGAGACGACTCAGTTGTTTAATTACCTAAGCGACAAAGCTGACATCATCCAACATCGATATCCAACCGCTCAACTGGTATTTCTGGGAGACTTTAATGCCCACCATCAGGAGTGGCTGTTCCTATACTTAAAAACCGACTATGCCGGGAGAGAGACGCGCAATTTCGCACTATCGCTAG